TTGCGAAAGAATAGTTGCACTATATAACTTATCAAACCGAATTTTATGCCCTTAATTGATTTTGTTTATTATAAAGAATAGTTGCACTTGCACTACATGAGTCCTCGGCCGGGCAAATTATCCGTTAAATTCGATCCAGTTCACTATTTGTTTTGATCTGATCCGAAAAATCTGGATATCTATTTTGAAACAAAGCGAAACAAATTGTACAATTTAGTATCCGTCTAAACCGAAACAAATCAAAAATACTAATTTTAAAAATCCGAATATCCGATCCGATCCGTATATTACTTATATATTCATATAATATGTTAGATTTATAACATATATTTATATTTAGTAAAAATAGGTAGATACTAACTTTAGTTTTCTTAAATAAAAAATATATATATTATTTTTCACCGTTTTAATTTTTCACTTTTTTTTTAATTCTATCGTTTTAAACCCATTTCATATATTTAGTCATTAATTAGTCTAAATCTTATATCAAAACTTTTGTTTTGAAAAAAAAGATTATGGTGTTTTTAATTTTTTTTTGTTTAAAACAGATATCCTTGAAGATCCGGATATCCGCAAATATCTAGAAAAAATCTGGATATTTGTAATCCCGAATATCTGTTATTTTCTAAAGCAAAGCAAACCAAAAAATTAGATATCCGTCAAAAACAAATTGAATCATAAATACTGTATTTTTTTTGGATATCCGATCCGTACCAAGACCTTAGTCCATGACATGAAATGAACCTTTATTTATTTAGGTAAATGAGTTTTCTTTTCTAACGTCCTATTATAAACTTAGTGTTTATCTTTTTGTTATGAACGGGTTATTGGCCTTCTTTAAAATTTGATGGGATATGGATCTGAACTCTCGTGTTTAAGGATCATGCGAAAGTTGGCAACGCCACTTACGATAATGGATCCAAAGAACACAAAAGTAAATCTTATGGATCCGATCAAGAAATATAACATAAACAAATAACAATGTAAACGCACGTCTAAGCAAATCCAATAGATCCCCGATGA